AAAAAAAAAGTTGACATCACCAGTAACGGGATAAATCATCATCATGTTTATCCCTGGCCCCACGCACTGAGAAGAGCACAGCATCACGTTAGAGGCATTCCTGCCAAAAACCTCAGGCAAACAACCCAAGCTGAGGAACATTCTAAAAATGTTAAGGTCATAAAAGATAAGGTAAGACTCTTTCCTTACCAAAGGAGATTAAAGAGTTAAAGAGATAACTAAATGCACTACATGATCCTGGGTTGGATCTTGGACCTATAAAGGACAATATTAGGACAACTGACAACACTTGAATGAGATCTGACAATTAAATGGTAACATAGGGTCAAAGTTAACTTTCTGATTGTGATGGCTGTACTACAGAGTGTCCCTGAATTTATGAAACATGCACTCAAGTATTAAGCCTACTTGAGTAATGAGTAATGATCCTCCTAAAGATGTCCGCATTCTAATCCCTGAAACCTCTGAGTATTTTATCTTAAATGGCAGAGGAGAATTAACAGTTGCATATGAAATTAAGTTTGCTAATAAACTCACCTTGAGCTAAACAGACTAGCCCGGATTATCTGGATGGTACCAACATAATCACAAAGGTCCTTAAAAGTGGAAGAGGCTGGCAGAAGGGAATCAGAGAAGAAATGTGACAATGGAAGTAGGGCGGAAGTGGTGGGAGGGAGAAGAATGTCACCCATCACTGCTGGTTTTAAAGATGGAGGGAGGAGGCCACACGCCAAGGAATTCGAAGTAGCCTCTGGAAACTAGAAAAGGCAAGGAAACAGATTCTTCACTTGAGCCTCCAGAAGAGAATGCAGCCCTCCCAACACCTTAATTCTAACCCAGTGAGACCTGTCAGACTTCCGCCCCACAGAGCTGTAAGATAACAAATGTGCTGTTTTAAGCCACAAAGTTTATGATCACTTGTTACAGCAGCATAAGAGCTAACACAGGAGTAATGGGACACGATCATCTCTGCACTTGATCTTAAATCACTTGGACATGTTCACAAATTGGGAATGTGCACAACAGTATCCAGGAATTGAGTGTATTGTTTTTGCAACATCTATATAAATTTGAAATCATTTCAAAATACTGGTTTTCGACTAATAGAAATTACATTTTGACTTGCCATTTTCCAAATGGTAGTTCTTCAGGATAGATTACCCTCTAAGGCCAGAAGGCAAAAAACAGTCATCTTCTTATAAAAAAAGGCCTGAGCAAAATAATCAGGGGCGCAATGGCCCAACCTCCAGGACCTTCACCCATTACCTCTAGATTCCCTGGTTCCACAGCGCTCACCTGTAGATAGTGATATGAGGAGACAGAGGACGGTTTAAACCAGCGTTCTTATTCCAGAACCTCTCCATCTCTTCTTTGGCTGTGGTTCCCAAAGGAACAGCACTAAAATAAAACCAGAAGATGGAAGACTTTAAAATGATGAGAAATATACTTGTCTCAAGATTTTACAATAACAAAAAGTTAAAATAAAAAAAGCTAAGCTGGGCTGGATGAACCCTTTGTATAAAGAAAACATGTCTGTCCAATCCTCTTATCTTTAGGCCAAGTTTGACTCAGTTATTAACAACCTCAATCACCCAAGGAAGTCCTAGCAGAGGAAAACTCTTCTTTCCAATTCCCCACCACGCAGGTCCTGCCACAGAAGCTCTACTTCTTTGGTGCCAGGCAGCAGAGCCAGTACAATATTTCAAAATCATTTATATAAATGGATCATCCTTTCCCGAGGGCACGGGTGTGGTCTCATACAGCAGCACCACCTGCTCTCATCTGGTTTGTCAAGACTCCCTTTCACATCCTCAAAAATCAAGACCTCAGCACCTCTGAACAGTTTCTTGGGTTTCCCTTGTCAATGGGGTGGATGGAAGCTAAGTGTTGAACAGCTATGTCCAACAATTTATTACATGCCTGTATTAAATACATTCCATCCCCCTCAAGAAAATATAACCTACGCACAGATGACCCATTAATTATAAAAAAAAAAAAAGAAAAAACCCAATAACTTCATAGTGGAAAAATACCTAGCAGACATTCCATTATTCAAATGATCAAAGTTAAAATCACTGACAATGGGACAAATAGCATCACATGCCCGTGATGTGAATATAACCAGGAATATAACATACTTACATATTACTCCTGCCCAAAATGGGTAACCTGACTCTAATCATAGCAAAGAATCATCCAAGCCCAACCTGAAAGGCATTCTACAAAACAACTGGCCCATATTCTTCAAAAACGTCAGTAACGGGGTGCCTTGGGTGGCTCAGTTGGTTAAGCATCTGACTTTGGCTTAGGTCATGGTATTGTAGTTCGTGAGTTCAAGCCCTGCGTCGGGCTCTGTGCTGACAGCTTGGAACCTGGAGCCTGCTTCAGATTCTGTGTCTCCCTTCTCTCTCTGCCCTTCCCCTGCTGACACTCTCTCCCTCTCTCTCTCTCTCTCAAAAATGAATAAACTTAAAAAAATTTTTTTCTTACATAAAAAATAAAAAAAATAAAATACACAGAGCTCTAAGTAAACATAGCAAATGTCTTCCAACTTTTCTGAAAGTATAAAATATTTCCCAAATTTAAAATTTAATATTCTCATCCTTCCTTCTTCTACTACCAGATGAGAAAAATAGTGACCACGATCACTAAATTTTCAGCCAACCATCTACAACTATTTTCTTCCACACATACCCCCCAAATCTAAACAACAACCCATTGCTGTTCCCGAAGGAAAAAATGTTAAGTCATAATAGCCTCCACAAATTTAGAAACTTACTTTCTGATACAGAGCTGAGGACTAAGGTGGGCACGGAGGCAATGACGGCCAACCTGTCTGCAAGATAAGAGAAGAAGGAGTCAATGGAGGGCACCTGGCTGGCTCAGTCAGTGGAGCATGTGACCCTTGATCTTGGGGTTGTAAGTTCAAGTCCAATGTTGGGTGTAGAGATTGCTTAAAAATAAAATCTTAAAAAGAAAAGAGAGAGAGAATAAAGAGCAACGCACATTTTGAGATCAATTTCAGTTTATCAAGTTCTCTATTTTTGTACCATATTAGACTTAGGAGTGAAAGGAAAAATTAAGAATAAGATGAAAACAATGACAGTATCACTGTCCTTGAAATGATTTTTTAGTTGGAAAGCTACAACTTTAAATAACTTGAGAATAATCACAAATACAACCTACAAATGCAAAATAAAGTTTTAGCCCAACACAAATAATACAAGGTAAAAGAATAATGAGCGTTGGTAACGTTCAACAGAGAAATATAGAATGTGATTTATTTCTAAGTGAGGTTTTAAAGGAGGTCATGGTTAAAAGATAGGGGTTGGGGCGCCTGGGTGGCTCAGGTGGTGGAGCATCCAACTTCATCTCAGGTCATGATCTCGCAGTTTGTGAGTTTGGGCCCGCCTCAGGCTCACTGCTGTCAGCGCACAAAGTCGGCTCCGGATCCTCTGTCTCCCTCATTCTCTGTCCCTCTCCCACTCACTCTCTCTCCCAAAAATAAAAATTAAATGTTAAAAAAAATTTTTAGAGAAAAAAAAGAGATTGGGGTAAAGAAGAACAAGAATACAGCTCAGTTAACTGCTGCAAAGGGAGGAACTAAGAAGACTGAAGAATAAGGGGTTTGTAGAAAGAGGGTCTTAAACATTAAGCTGTCATTTTAGGAACTACCATCAAGTTCCCGACAACACAGATGAATTTCAAGTCAAAAAGTCTGTAATAGGGGCGCCCGGGTGGCTCAGTTAAGCACCTGACTCTTCATCTCAACTCAGGTCTTGATCTCAGGGTCCTGAGTTCAAACACTGCATTCATAGAGTCTACTTAAAAAAAAAAAAAAAAAAAAAAAAAAAAAAAAAAAAAAGTCTCTAATAGTGCAAAAAGTATGGGAACGCAAAGATTTCATGGACCACGTGAAGAGTTGCACCAAGAGGATACACAAGTTTTCTACTAAAAAGTTGCTGTTTTTGAAATGCATCAAAACAGTACCAGAACTGCTCCTCAAGCCTAAAACTAAGATGTGCCTGGGCATTCTATGTAAAGAGAGTTTAACTGATCCAGAGAGCACACACGAACTAAAAAATACGACCATTAGGCCCCTCTATTCACATTATCATATCAAATCTTTCCAGAAGTATTTAAGAAAGGTATCAGAGTGAAGCACTGGGATTAAAATGAAAAATATGTTGCTTCCACAAAAGTTTACTGTATATCCCCTATGTGCAAGGCATCGTGGGGAAATAAAATCGCACTGAGGTCCGATGACCTTGTAAAAAAGCTCACAGTGTCCATCACACCATCGATATTAGAGGCACAAACGTTTCAAAATCCCTCTGCTTTACACTAGGACAGTGGAAGGGTACGCTATTTGAAGGTAAAATAATCCAGCCAACACTTCCTTCAGCTCCTCTCTCTCTCCAGCCCTGGAGACAAGAGGTGAATGCAGACATTGTGTACCCCAGGCTCCCAGAAGGAAGTGGGAACAAATCTCTTTAATCAATTGAAGTAATTGTGGTTCTGAAGTTCGCAGGACATGCATTCCGCACACCAGGCTAGGTCCAGTCACTCGACTGCCCAGCAAGAGTTTGCAGATGTGGGCTGGAATCTACAGCACTCTGTCTAATGCTATTGTTTCCCAGACAAATACCAACGTAAGCTTTCCACAAGGCCCTCACAGAAACTAGGTGCACAAAGTCCACAGCCTTATTTGAAACAGGACCAAAGTAGGTATCGATCCTTGCCTTTTGTGGGAAACCAGGAACTCTGGCAAGTTCCACCAAGGAAGTGGGAAACCAGGAACTCTGGCAAGTTCCACCAAGGAACTTGGTGTTCTATGTTATGGCCAAAAAGTAACCGTACTTTGTTTTCTTTTTAATGAACAGCCAGAACTTACCATTCTAGTTAGCACTGTCCCTTTCTAAATGCATTATACATGTGTACCCAAAAAATGTAATCGCTGTTCAAATCATTTGTGAAACTCTTCTCTGGACTGGGGTGACAACAGTGACACAGGAAGAATATTAAAGTAAAAACTGGAATTCCGATTCTGCATAAATCATGTAACTTTAGGGGACCACTGAGCTTCACCTTCTTTATTTGTAAAATGGGACTGAAAAGACCTACCTAATAGGTTGCTGGGAGGATTACGTAAGAAAATGGCCAGAAAATCATTCTCCAAACTGCAATTCGGCCCACATGTATAAGATACGACCAGTATTTCACTGGTTTCCCCCACGGTCTTTAGAATTCACATCACATTCTTTTTAAAACCATCAGTGGTGATAAAAATATTCATCTGCTGAAAATGGATTTGACTTTTGGGGGGAAAAAAAGTTATTCAAAGCCAAGTCTACGGGATCAAACTAAATAAAACCATTTTTGGTCCAAAACAAGATGCGACTACAATATAATGAGTTTCTCTTATATGACCTCTAAACTTGATCTGATGATATGCCAAAAAGTTTCAGAAATATCTGGGGGAAGAGCAACACTAAAATAGACGTATAACCTCGAAGAACAGGATGAAGAGAAATCACTTAAAGACAAAAATTCTGATTCATGACTGTTAGCCCCCACCCACTCCCAAACGACAACAGAAGTCATCCTTGATTTTTTTTTTCTCTCACCCCCATATATACGTGAGGCATCACCCAGTCCTATCAATGCTATCCAGGACTTCAGTCCATTGTTTTAGTCCTTATCCTCTCCATTTCTCACAAAGAGAACTGTAAGAGGAGCTCCTGAACTGATCTCCCTACCATCAGTCGCTTCCCAATCATTCAATATTTACCAAAGCTAACTTACTGAAAAATAAAGCTGATTTCATTGGTCTTCTGCCCAAAGTCTTTTAACAGTTCCCCGTTGCTTGTAGTGTAAGGTCCACACCGTAGCCAAACAAGGCCCCTCTCAACACGGCCCACTCCAACTCTCTGGACCCATTCTCCTCCAACTTCCCGTCAGCCCCTTATATGTCTGCCACACTGAGTACTGCACTACACCCAGACAGAGCAAGCCCTCTTAGGACTACATGCCCTCGCTCACGCTCTTCTCTGATTGGAACCTCCCTCACAGTCTGATTAAACTCATCCTTGAAAACCCAACAACTCCTGGATGGCAACTTCAGTTTCTTTCGCCTTACTTGCTGCCCCTGCCATGCCTCACACCGCTTCTTCATATCTCTATAGCAACACATATTATGGTGCTTAATAATTAATCTATTTATCGCCTCTACTAGACTTTGAGCTCCTCAAGGATAAGACTGGAATGCTCTGTGTCTATAACACTTATGAAAATGTCTGACACATAGAAAAGGCTCAAAAAATAAAAAGGTTTGTAAATGAGGTATGCTTATTTTAAGAAGCAGTCTTATATATTTAAAGTTAAGCCTTATTTTTAGAGGTGTTTCACAGGTAGTATTTTATATGATGAGCAACGTGCACATAGTTAACAACTCTTGGCGACTTTGTGCCTAAGCGGCATGAACTTTATTAGACAGAAGCCTAGCTGTTCTTTGCTTAGTTCTCCATCTCCGTCTTGGCTTTGGCAAACCATTCCTTGACTAAATGCCAATGGCGTTGCATTACTCAGCTGGTTATTCATTCCGGGCTAGTCTGTGAACTGTTTAGGGAATATACAAAATATAGGGCACTATTTTAAAGCCATGATGTATGATACTTTGAAAACTAATCATTTTTAGTTAGCCAATTAGCCAACATTAAAAATGTTTAGCCAATACTTCTTTTAAGTGGGCCCAAGTTATTACTATTTTCATTCACAAATGAGGATTGATGACCTTGACTTCTCCAAAATAAATGGAACTAGTGACACTAGAACTAGAATCTAGCTCCTAGGATTTCTTAGAAGATATTTTTCTTTGAGGCTAAGTTAGCACGTTATAAACAGTTCCAAATCCCTCTAGTGAAATGGAATTAGACTCGGAATTTCAATCAGAAAAAGAAATTGTTGTTGTTTTTTTAATTCCCTATGCCCCCTCCTAAGAAATCCCTTGTGAAAAAAGAAGAGAGAGGCGCCCTTCCCATGAGCTTCAGATTAATACTAATGAAAAAGAAGTCTATTTCTTGGCATTGAATCCTGGTGGTGACAGTCGTACACATCTCAAAATGATACTGTCTGGACATATTTACTGAGTATGATAATTGTCACCTTCCAAACAATAATCCTGAAACTCCTAAAACGAACTGTTTAGAACCAACATGATCATTTCAAGCTACACATGAATTCTACCAAAAGGCCCCGACATCCACCAAAATACATCAAGGATTCAAAATCATTCAGTTACGGTAAAACTACCTGGAATAAAGAGTGCAGTTCTGGCAAGACTGGGGCTGGCAACACCTTAGGAAAAAAAGATACATTTGGAAATGAGAGGGAAGGAGGAAAATGATGGATTAAGATAACCCACTCCTGATCTCAACTACGAAAGGAATCGTTCTGTCACAGAGAAAAACTAAAGTCCCTCTATTTTTATACTGGGTGTACTGCTGTGGAAAGAGAAATAAGGCATTTGGGGAAATCAGGAATTAAATCTCAACGACATTAAAACTAACTTTCCATAACAAATAGTTTCCAAAAATAGGCCTGGCACGAAACTATGCTGGGATTTGTACCGGGAGTGTCTAAAGTCACTCGAGTTGCCCGTCTAGAAAGGCTCTGAGTGGAGAATGAGGTCTAGACAGTGGACAGGACAGAACAGAAGAAAACCTAGGATACTTCTCCGGGCGGCGAATGACCTTGTATAAAAAAACTGAGACATCCACTCCCTACCCCACAGAGAAAGATAAATTGAAACTGAATTCCCTGGGCTGCTTTAGGACAGTAGAGCGACCGCTATGGGCGCTATTTCTAATTGCCGGCGCGGTAGGGATCCAGGACTCCTGTCCCCTCCCCCAGGGGCCCGTTAGGAACTCAGTGGCCACTCGTTGCCAGCAACGAGTGTCTGCAGGAGTTCGAAGCAAAAGCGAAGTACACCAAGATCTCTCTTCCCGAGGCCCGAATAAGAGCTCGAAGTCGTACGACCGACGGTCCGCTGACCTCGAAGTCCTAACTATTTGCTCTCTCGGAGCGTGGCTCTGGGTGCAGCCCCGAACGCAACCTGGGGGGGAAAGTATTGAAGCTGGGGGAAGGAGAAGGGGCGACAGCCGCGCGACTCCTCGGTAGGGAGTTCAGGAGGAGATAACGGGCCCGTGACCCCGGGGACCGGAGCGGCTGGGGGGAAGGGAAGGGGCCCTAGGACGCCAGGGCGCGCGACCCGCGCACCCACGGGCCCTTCCCCCGCCCCGGGACGGTGCAAACAGTCGTGAGCAAGACAGGAGGGGCAGCGCAGGCCTCCCCAAGGCCGCGGACACAGACTCCCAGCCCCGGGCTAAAGTCACCTCAACAGGAGCGCAGCCATCTTGAGTTCCGGCCTGGACGGAAGTGACGCACAACGTCTCCGCCACGGGGGGGGCGGGGCTATGTCACGTGACGCCTCCGGCTCTTTAAAAGGCTCGCAGGCGGTCCGCCTCAGAGTTGTTCACGCTTGATTTTTTCTGGTTTTGTGTGTCTGCATGGCTTCCCTCGGCTGGCTTCTGCTAGAATTTGCCAGGGGGTCGGCAGAAATGGCGCTGACTCAGACTCTGCGGTCTGCGTTTTCACCTGTGAACATATTCATTTTGCTTCGCACCACTGAACTTCTGACTTGCCCTGATTCTTCACCAGGGACTCCAGAATAGTTTCGCTCTCCCTCTTTCCCAGGTAGGCCGGCCGAGGCTCCCAGGGAAACGGGCTCCATCCGTTCTGACGGGAAGCTCCACAACAGAGTACAGAGAACACGAGTTGAGGCCCAAGTTGAGGAAGCCTCGTGAGAACTACGTAGACCACCATCCCAAGGCCTGGGAGCCTCGTCTAACCACCTGGATCAGCTCTGTGCCCACAATTCCTGGGCTTGAGCTGCCGCCTGAGCTGGACGCCCACTAGCCAACTACAACACTCCTTTGTTCCTTGTTTCAAGACTGTGTGGGTGACGCCCACAGCCAGAAGAACCTGGAGTGGGGGAGAACTCGCTTTGATTTATACACACACACACACACATGGTTTTGAGGAACCCAAGCTCTGCAATCAATTGCAGAGCATTTGTGACTTAAGGAAGAAAAAGGGAGACAGGAATAGAAAATTGAAAAAGTTCTTGAGTCTTTTTGCGGGCGAGGACGGGGCAGAGAGAAGTGAAGCAGACAGCCTAGAGCAACTCCCATTCTACAATAAAATATTCAGCTAACATTACTATTCAGATCTCATTTATATTTAGCACTCCTGCACTTTCAGGATTTAAATAGCACACATTCACTTATCTCTGCATCAAATGAAAATCCTGTTGTGCATTTCTATAATACTTGACAAAGAAAGCACTTTTATAGACTTTTGGACTGTTAAGAGACCTTAGCGGCTCTCTAACTTTAGTTTCTATTCAGTGCAGGGGTCTCCTGTACAACATTGATGGCCACTCATCTTCAACACTAACACATTCGGTAAAGGTTACCTCAAAACACAAGTTTGTT